GAAAATGAGGGGGCTGGATAAAATAATCTTGGTTGTGGTAGTCAGTTTAAAGGACTCTCAGGAATGTAGACAGAGCCTCAGACTGCAAGGATTAAACTCTAGGATTTCTTGAGAATTTACAAACGTATTGAGCCAACTGAATCATGCAAAAAGTATGTAAGATGTGTATCCTCTCTGTTTCATTGCCTTCCCTGGGTCCCCACTGGGCCAGCTTTGGCTAAGTGAAGCTCTCAGATGGCTATACCCTGTGCAATCAGCCCAGCCCAGGCAGCTATCTGGTTGTGGACGGCCTAAAAATGTTGGGGGATATAAGGTTTTATACTGGACCAGACAAAGGACACTGGAGCCTTTTAATGAATGAATGAATTGATCTTAGGGGTAAGCAGAAAGGGCAAAAACACAGGGGTTGGCAGAATTCCTCTGGAGTCAGAGGCTGTGCTCACAGATATGGAGCGGTCATGCCAGTTGTCTCTATCTCTATGTTCTGCACCCCAACCCACACCTCAACCTGGTCTAGCTGGCCAACATCATCCTTCTAATTCTCAATCTTATGATTCCTACCCTTGTTTGTTTGTTTGTTTGTTTTTAATAATATCCCAAGGTGTCTTCAATTCTCTCAAGGAGTGTTAAAAAATTTCACTACAAAGTTAGTTTAAATTCATTTAAATATTTTAAAGGTATGAGGTATATTTATGTGTGGGACAGTGAGATGGGCTGAGGTATTGAAAAATTATATAAGCAGTAAATGTGAAGAGTTTGGAATTACCTAATAAACTAATTAACTAATATTCACCGAGTAGTCAGCATACTGGAAGACAAAGCTAACTTAGGAATCCATTCTAGAGCCCTTGCTGTGTCCTTTGGAATTCATTCTTTCATTTAAGATCATAGGAATTGGAAAAAGGACCCACCAAATTAACAAGCATTTACTAAGCACCTACTATGTGCCAGGCACTGTGCTAAGCAATGAGAATATAAAGAAAGGCAAAAGACAGTCCCTGCCCTCAAGGAGCTTATAGTCCAATGCGGGAGACAATATGCAAATAATTATGAAGGAAGACAGTACAGTTATCCCTTCCATATTGGACTTAACCCATCACAGTTTTGATATATCACAGGTCGGCATAAGAAATTAAATGGGAAATTTTAGGAGAGTTTTATAGAAGCCACAGACCACAGGTGAGGGCCAGCAGGTGACACAGAAAAAGTTTAGAAATTCAGAAGTACATAAAACCTATGTATGGTATTGTATAATATCAACATATTTTATCTTTTAATACCATAATAATTCAGACTTCTTCTCTGGTACAAAGGGAGGGCCAAAACATTTTATGTAGATTTTCCAGATCGCAGTGGGGAGGTGGGGCGCTTGCCCCTACCCACTCGATGTGGAAAGGTTAACTGTGGTACTAAGGTGGATGGGTAAAGACTTCTTGCAGAAGGTAGGAGTTTAGCAGAGACTTGAAGGAAGTCAGGAAAGCCAGGAGGTGGAGATGAAGAGGGAGAGAATTCCCAGTATGGGAGGCAGCCCGTGAAAATGTTGAAAGCAGGGAGATGAATATCACATTCAAAGAACAGCAAGCAGGTAAGTCTCACCTGACAGAGAATATGGAGAGGAGAAAGATGTAAGAAGACCAGAAAGGTGTGTGTAGGGGTAGATTATGAAGGGCTTCATAAGCCAAATAGAGGACTTTATATTTGATCCTAGAGGACAAGAGGGAGCCATTGGAAATGATTAAGTAGGTGGGGATGAACTGCTCAACACTGTGCTTTAGGAAGATCAATATGACAGCTGACTGGAGGATGGACTGGAGTGGAGAGAGACTTGAGGCAGGGCTAGGCAATAGTTCAGGCTTAAGGTGATGAAGTGAATAGCAGACAGATCCTATGTTGTACCCTCCAGGTCCTTCTCCAAAGACCTTAACTGATTAATTTCTAGAGAAACATTCTGATTGCAGAGGGTTATGTCCATAGTAAACCTGCAAAAACCTAGAGTCCGTTTTTTGCCCATAGGCATGAAGACAGTGGATAGCAAACAGGATAGGTGGGTCAACAAGCATTTATTAAGTATTTACTATGTGGCAAAGTGAATAGAGCACTTGTCCTGGAGTCAGGACAACAGGGGTTCAAATCCAGCTTCAGACACTTACTAGCTGTGTGACTCTGGACAAGTCACTTAACCCTGTTTGCCTCAGTTTCCTCGTCTGTAAAATGAGCTGGAGAAGGAAATGGCAAACCACTCTTGTATCTTTGCCAAGAAAACTCCAAATGGGGTCCCCAAGAGTTGTACACAACTGAAATGACTCCACAACAATATGTGCCTGGCACTGTGCAAAGTCCCTGCCCGCAAGAAGTTCACATTCTAATGGAGGAGGCAACATGTAAATGATGGGGAACAGACAAAATAATAGAATGCATTGAAGATCACCTTAGAAGGGAAGGCACTATTTGCTGAAGAAACTGGGAGAGACCTCCTGAAGAAGCTGGGGTTTGAATTGTTTTTTTTTTTTGAGGCAATAGGGGTTAAGTGATTTGCACAGACTATGCCCAAAGGTCTATAAAACTGTGCATATCCTTTGACATAGCGATACCATTTCTAGGGTTGTATCCCAAAGAGATCATAAAAATGGGAAAAGAACCCACATGTACAAAAAATATTTATAGCAACTTTTTGTGGTGGCCAAGAATTGGAAATTGAGGGGATGCCCATCAATTGGGGAATGACTGAACAAGTTGTGGTATATGAATGTAATGCAATATTATGGTGCTATAAGAAATGATGAGCAGGCAGACTTCAGAAAAACCTGGAAAGAATTATATGAACTGATTCTGAGTGAAGTGAGCAGAACCGGGAGAACATTGTACACAGTAACAGCAACAGTGTGCAATGATCAACTATGATAGACTTAGCTCTCCTCAGCAATACAATGATCCAAGACAATTCCAAAAGACTCACAATGGAAAATGCTATCCACATCCAGAGAGAGAACAATGGAGTCTGCAGATCGAAGCATACTATTTGCTCCTTGTTTTTTTTGTTGTTGTTGTTGTTGTTTTGTTTCGTTTTGTTTCTTCTTTCTCGTGGTTTTCCCCTTTAGTTCTAATTCTTCTTTACAACCTGATTAATGTGGAAACATGTTTAATATGGTTGTACGTGTATAGTCTATATCAGATCGCCTGCCATCTTGGGAAGGGGGGGTGCAGAGGGAGGGGAAGAAAATTTAGAACTCAAAATCTTATAGAAGTGAATGTTGAAAACTAAAAACAAATAAATAAAATTTTTAAAAAAGTGATTTGCTCACAGTCACACAGCTCGTAAGTGTCTGAAGCTGTATTTGAACTCAAGTCCTCCTGACTCCTTAGCTGGTACTCTATCCACTGTGCCTCTACATAGCTGTCCCTTGAATTGAGTTTTAAAGAAACCTAGGGAAGCCAGTAGACCAAGGGAAGGAAGAAGAGCATTCTAGGAATTGGGACAGCCAGCGTCAAGGCACAACTAAGGGGACAGAGGGTCAAATTTGAGGAAATAACAAGTAGGTTAGTGCGGGTATGGGGAAAGGCGTAAAATGTGAGATGACTGGAAAAGTAGAAAAAGACCATATTGTGAAGAACTTTAAATGCCAAACAGAGGATTTGGGATTTGATCTTGGAGGTAATAGTGAGCTACTGAAGCATGTAGATTGAGGGATAGCATGGTTAGGTTTGTGTTTTCAGGACATCACCTTGTCAGCTTCAGCAGCTAAATAGAGGATGGGTAGAAATGGGAAGAAGCTGGGGGCAGAAAGACTGATTAGGACCCAATAGCCCTAAAGTCCTAGATTCTAGGTAGAAGTGACAAGAGCCTTAATTAGGGTGGTGGCTGTGTGAATGAAGAGAAGGGAATGTATAGGAAAGATGCTGTGTAAGTATACACTACAGCTGATTAGTTATGGGGAGCAAGAGGCATTGGGTTGTTGAGGATGACAAGTCTGGGTGACAAGAAGAATGGTGATGCCCTAGACAATGAGAGATCATCCTTTAGCAAGATGCCACAAAACAAGTTTGTCCCCAGCCCTTCTCCCACTCCTCCTTTGCTTCCTTCTTGACTCTTTTCTCTCAGAGGCAGAGTGTTTTCACGATTTCCTTTAGCTTTTAGAACCACAAGATGGCATTCCACCCGGGTCCCCCTCCTTGAGTAGTGACCCATACTCTAAAATGATCATTTTTTCCCATGCCCAAACTCCCACTTCCCCAGTGTTCTTCCCTCACTGAGCTTTCTCAGAGGAAGGAGATCTAGTCGACTACTTTATACTAATGTGTGAATGACTCATATCAGTTTATCTAGAGAGACTTCCTTTTAAAAAGGACACCTGGTGCCTAATGTGGTAATTCAAAAGAACTCATCTTTAGGGTATTTGATACTATGTAACAGACTGGTAAGATTAGAGGATTTTCCTTGGACACCTCAAATTATACCATGGAGAGAACCATGAATGCCATGTTGCTATAGTGATATTCTTAGAAGCATTATTTAACTTAAGTCAACAAGCATTTATTAAGCTTTTAGTCACATGGGATGCAAAAACAAAAATTAAAAATTAAATGTCTCCTTGCCTTTATGCAAAGATACCGCAGGGATATTAACCTGTATTAAGAGAATGGAACAGTATCAGGGAATGTTGAGTCCAAAAGGAGCCTAGAGATCATTTAGTCCCCATTTTGCAGATGAGGAAACTGAGGCCTAGAAAGGTGAAAGCCCCAGGACGTATAAGTGGTAAGCATCAGAGCCTGGAGATGAAACCTGGTCCTTGGACTCCAAATCCATTACCACCATGACTTAAGACCACTGGCCAAGATGAAAGGATCTAACCAAAAGCTTCTCTCTGTGCTATTTCCAAGGTGTTAATTTTCCCAGTGCAATTCCTAACCTCCTTTGCTGCCCCCTCCTGGCCCTGTGGAGCACTGCTGGGGGTATTAAAGCTGGAGGGTTGTGCCACAGCCTGAAAAGTGGGAGTGGGAAATGCAGATTGTTAGCTCTCCTCGGGACTAGAAGCGGCAGAGTTGCTGTCTGTCAGCAGAGAAGAGAACTGAAGAAACCGAACAAAGAAAGTGTATGACCAGGAGAGGGAGGCTGAGGGAAAAGAAGACACACAGACTCCAGATACAGGCAGCAGCAGCACCCCTGGCCACAGAGGGTTAGCACTAACACCTCCCAGAATGTCACTTGTGTGACTTTCTCTTGTTGAAGGCGATACTCTCTCACTCAGCGGTGTCTCTGTCCAACTCTTCCATTGACTCCAGAGGTGAGTGAGGACATCCTTTCACAGTTCTTCAGGTCAAAACAAGCACCTGGAAGATGATTGCTCAGAATCCTTTAGAGGAGGGATGACAATGTACTGGTTTATCCTACTCGGGGAGAAAATGACTGCATTGTCAAAGTTTTTTTTGAATAGCAGGGAGAGAAAGGAAAACCTTAACCTTCATTCAGTCTGAGCAAAATGGTTTTCTTGCTGAGAAAATGGTATCAGTCCATAGACACAATGGAGCACAGGGTCAAAGGGGGTCACGTTGGGCTGGCTGGTTGTGAAACCAAAGGTGGTGAATTGGAATTGGAGAAATTATCCAAGGATCTTGCCTGTTGAGAAGCTGAAGAGGCAGCTTGGACTTGGTAATTTTAAAAGTGCCTGAGCCCATGCAAAGAAAGTACATTTGATAGAAATGAGACAATAGAGAGAAGAAGAGGGGAAATGCATGTTTAGCAGGGTGGCAGAGTGGGGGTTTAGAGAGGGCAAAGAACAGAAAATAAGCAGAGAACTCCTGGGGACAGCGAGGGTGCATTTGGGAGGGGGGGTATGCTTATGGGCATGTGTGTGACAGGTAATGTTCAACACTGGCTAATGCCCAGCATTGGTCTAGGAAGTGACTGATATTCTGTGTTCACTATAGCTCCAAACACCATCTCCCTCTCTCTCTCCCTTTTCCCTGTGAACTGTTAAATTTTCCAAGTCAATCATACAGTATAAATCTGTGAAAGAGAAGACATATTCACAGTTCAGGTAGGTATTTGAGGGTATTCAGTTTACCTTGAACATTGAATGTAGCTCAGACTACTGTTGGACATTAGCTTATGGTTAAATATTAGTGGCAAAATAAATAACACTGGTGGCCTTAGAGTACAGCAGATATCTTGCAAGGTAAGTGAAATATTGAAGCTTGTGATGTTACAAAGCTTTGCATGGGATTAAAATGAAAAGTGCTTTGGCAAGCTTGTTTGCTTATTTTCTAGCATTTTATAGTATTTAGGATAAGTCCCTTCATGTGCTTTGGTTAGCCCAATAGAGTTGGGAGGTAGAGGAGCAATGAGGGTTATTTTATCCATTTTGAGAAGACATCAATCACAACAGTACCTTCATGCTTGGGGCTGCATTCACAAGTCCTTGGGCAAAGGGGAGAGGGCAGCTCACACTGACAGGAGTGTGTATATCTATGTGTCTGGATGTGGCAGTGGTCCTCCATGTGCTGCTGCTACTGTCTCCATATTTCACAACAGTACAAAAGGAAGGAGATACATTATAATGCAGTCAACCAACAAGCATTTATTAAGCTTCTACTGTATACCAGGCATACTGTTCTAAGTATTGGGGAAACTAAGACCAAAATTAAACAGTTCTTGCCTTCAGGGTAAAAGATCAGGATTTAAATCTTGCCTTAGGCACAGCATACTAGCTGTGTGACTTTGGATGTAAATCATTTCATCTCAGTGTACTCAGGCAACTAAGAATATAAGTCACAGATGAGGTGCTGATCTGTATGAGGTGGGGGGGAGTTTACATACCAGTAGTTCTCTACCCTTACAAACTCATTGCTCTGTTCCTGCCCCATCCTCACAGACAAAAGGAAGAAACCTGATGTTTTCATTTTCTTGAAGCTTCAAAAGGTCAGAAGTTATCCCACGGCTTCTTACCACCACCATCACCACCACCATCTTGTTGCTGTTCAGTCATTTTCAGTCATGTCTGATTCTTTGTGACCCCATTTGAGATCTTCTTGGCAGAGGTACTGGAGTGGTTTGCTATTTCTTCCTCCAGCTCATTTTACAGTTGAGGAAACCGAGGCAAACAGGATTAAGTGACTTGCCCAGGATCACATAGCTAGCTATCATATTACCACTCGCTAAACACCATCAATATATGTTGATTCTGTTCTCTATATATCTGGTATGTCACTAGTTATTTATATTACCCCTATTTGACTGTGAGGTCCTTCTTGGTATCCCCAGAATTTAGCACAGTTCTTGGCGTTTAGTAAGACTCCAATAAATGTGTGTTGACTGAGTGACTTTACATAGAGCACCTACAATGTATAAGATGGGTGGAGGGAGTGTCTTCCTGGCTCTTTCAGAGGTTTCAGTACTATGCTATGGAGTTTGATGGGTCACCATCTCAAAAGTGAAATTGTTGCTAATCAGTTCAGATAATTTTTTTTCTTTTGTTTTAGGCAATTGGGGCTAAATGACTTGCCCAGGGTCACACAGCTAGTAAGTGTCAAGTGTTTGGTCAGAGGCCGGATTTGAACTCAGGTCCTCCTGACTTCAGGCCCGGTGCTCTATCTACTGCGCCACCTAGCTGCCCCCAGTCCAGATAATGTTAAAGAAAGCTGTCATTCCTAGTCTCTTTCTTACATTGCAGTTTTTAGCTAAGAGGTGTCTAATGACTATTTTGAGGATTTGGAATGAAGCACATGGACGGGAGGCAAATACTTCTGCCCACTTCACATCACCTCCCCCTGGGCAATACCTCGGTAGTACCATTGCTGAGTTGAGCTCAGGGACCTCAGAGATTTTAATTGTGTACTCCTTTGAGGGGTAGAGGGCAGTAGCTACTTTTCCCTTAAGCTAGTAAGTGTCTGAGGGTGGATTTGAACTCTGGTCTTCCTGACTCAGAACTCTACCCACTGTGCTCCATTATAGAATATGGGCTCACAGTTAAATACACAGGGTTACAGGGAAAGGCAAAAGCCTAGTCCGTGCTCTCAAGCAACATGCATTCTAATGGGGGAGACATAAATATCATTGATCATGGCCACAACAAAAGTTATGAGAATTTTAAAGTTGAAAATGTTTGTAAAGACTTTATGAAGATTTCATGTACACAGATCCATTTATGTGATTCAGCCTGAGGCTGTATTACCTCCATGGTCCTAAACTGTTACATTACGTGTGTTATGGGAGAAATATCTCTTCTCTGAGTTTATGTGGTGGGTAAATGCTGCCAAATATATTTTTACCACAAAGCAGAAATTGTGGAGGTAAAAAGAATCTAGGTTTTATTATTATGCTCAAACATAGGTACAGACCTCAGAGAAAACATGAACAGTTATGAATATTTGGACAGGGCTTTTTAAAGGCAAAATTATGTCTGAGTGACAGAGAAATCATTCATTTACATATCGTGATCTTGTACGTTCTTCTTCGGCCATAAAACTTAGATCAGGCGTTGTTGTTGTTGTTTGTCTTTTGTTCTCGAAGAGGACCATGACATCAGAAAGACAATACATGACATGCGAGGGAATTGGATTTAAATGAAGGAGGGCTGTGCAAAGTCACCAGCCTCAATTTCTCCTCCGGAGCCATCTGGGTCCAGTGGTGAGAAACAGATCAAGGTGACTGGAAATGGTCCCTGATGCAGTGGGAGACCTTGGCCTTTTTAAGCTAAGGTCTTTAACAGGTCTCAGTTTGACTGAGGCAAAACCCTTTCAGTGATTAAGGCTAGGTAAGAAATGAGGCAGAGAATGGCCTCTCTTACCTAGTTAAAAAAAATAAGTGTTGGAGCTGAAGGCACTTTATAGGTCATCTGATTCAATCCATAATCCCATACTTCTTTTAATATCATAAAAATCAAACAAACTTAGTTAAACGGTCACAACCTCATGCATCTCCTAAGGAAACAAACTTCACCAATAGGTAAACTAAGTCAGATTAAACTACATTTAGAGGATTCACAACAGGCTGATTGAGGAGAAGAATTTACATGTTGCCAAGGAGTCAGGAACAATTAAGATTCTTCCTCTTGGCTTCCTATATAAAAAATGTTTAAGGTTCTTAAGTAAATTTTTACATCTCATGGGACAAATTTTGGTCAGGTGAGATTAGTGTTAACCAAAAGTTGCAAGAAGAACAAAGAGAAATTAAAAATTCCCATAACACATGGGACTTCCAAGGTAGCAGAAAATCAAAAGATGGGCCTCCAAGAAACCAGGCTTCTCTTGCATTCGATGCTGCTGTGGATTGCCACTGCCCAGTCAGCAAAGGCCTCTAGGCCAAGGTTACCTGAAGCAGTTCATTCCTTTCTAAGTTAGAGACTTGTTCACAACAAAGCAGAAAAAGGAAGAGGTATCTTTTTTTGTGTGTGTGTGAGGCAATTGGGGTTAAGTGACTTGCCCAGAGTCACACAGCTAGTGAGTGTTACATGTCTGAGGCTGAGATTTGAACTCAGGTCCTCCTGACTTGACGCCCTATCCACTGTGCCACCTAGCTGCCCCAAGGAATACATATCTTTACCACCTCTAGGTGCCTATTGCTATACAGAGCATTATACTTGGTGCTAGAGGAAAAAGGAGTTTTGATAAGACCAAGTCCTTGCAGCCTCATGGAATTTAGTTCCAATACAGAGAGAGGTAATGCAAAATTTTACACAACCAATGAAGTGGAGAATTTAAGAACAAAATGCAGTGGGGAATCTAAGCAGAAAGGTAGATAGGGGAGGAAGGACAAACAAAAGCTATATAAACAACATAGTATTTAAATTTGGGCTTTAAATAATGAGCATGGACATTGTAGGCCAAGGGAACACTCTTAGCAAAGTAGAGTGGTGGGAGAGTGTAGCGCTCATCCGAGGAGTCATTTTTTCCTCCAAAAGAATCATAAAAGAAAGCCAAAAGTGAATCAGCCTATTCAGAAGACCAAAGTAATCTCCCACTGACCCAAAGCCCAAGAGAGAGGACTACCATTCTCCTTACTCTTTTAGCCAAAGGTGATTTTCTATGGGACTCCAGAGTGCTTTTTCCAGATAACCTTTCTGTTCTTCAAGGCTTTGTTTAGAAGGCAGACTGTAGTAATCCACCTCTTTAAGTGTGTGCAAGAAAATCAAGCTCCCAGTCTCACAATAGCACCTATATCTCCCGGCTGGCTTCTTTTCTTTTCCAACAAACCGCCGGCACCTGCTGACCTCATTACTGTGCCCCAGAAGTCTGGCTCCTGTTATCCTCTGAGCAGGGGGAGACCAGTGGATGGTTACTGATGTTCAGTCATTCTTCAGTCGTGTCCTACTCATTGTGACCCCCTTCGGGATTTTCTTGGCAGAGATACTGAAGTGGTTTGCCATTTTCTCCTCTAGCTCATTTTACAGATAAGGAAACTGAGGCAAACAGGGTTGAGTGATTTGCCCAGGGTCTTCCTGACTCCAGGGTTGGCACTCTATCCACTCTAACCACTGCCCCACCCAGCTGCCAAAGCTCTTACTAAATGCTAATATTCTCATGTAAGAATAATGGAGGAAATTTTCATTGATTCAGCATCATTCAGAAAAATGAAATTTTCTAGATAAATTCAGTTGACTCCTTCTTCTTCTAGTCTTCTGGGAGTCAGGGGGAGCAGCAGGAGCCTGGCATGCTTGGAGTCAGAAGAACTGGGTTTAAAGTTTTGCTTTGACACTTACTACTTGCGTGACCTCAGTAGCAATTTGCTTGCCCTTTCTGGGCCTCTATCTCCCCATTTAAAAATGGGGTTAATAATATTTATATCTACTTCAAAAGGTTATTTTTGAAGAAAGCAATATGTAAATATTCAGGCACTATTTAAACGTGAACTATTAATAAATTAGACATCAGACTTGTTGAAATTGAACGAACATGAGCTTGGACAGACATTGAGAGATAGTAGACGATAGAAGGGCCTGGCGTGGTGTGGTCTATGGGGTCACAAACAATCGGACGTGACTGAATGACTCAACAACAATGACAACTTATTGAAATTGTGTGTGAAGTAAGACTCAAAAAGCTATGAGAGGATTAAAGGGTTCTCCTGGTAACCCTCGTGTGCTTTATACAATCTAAACTTTTCATAGACTCCCTAGATCTTTTCCTTTCTCTCAGGTCCTTACCAAGCTGTGTTCTAGAAGGTCAAGGTCTCCAAAAATATGACCAGCCCCCGAGCAAAGGCACTACTTTAACAAAGATGAGAACAATAATAATGTCATGTTATTAGTAGTGTTAACCCTCTTGTGCATATAAGCGTGTTCCCTCACTCCTAGTTTCCTCCCTCCCACCCTTCAGGGTATAACAAAAGTACCACCTCCTCCCTGAAGACTTCCTTGATCTTCTCAACCAGCAGCAAGCTCTCCTCTCTCATAGCACCTCTTTGAAGGTCTTTGCACCTATATTATTCTCATTTGTACAATAGATATTTATATACATACCTTATCTGTCCTTGTTGTTCAGTTATCAGAGTGAAAGACCAGAGAAAGAAATTCTTACTGGTGAGTGACTTTCCTCCTGTTTGCAGTGACAAGGTGATGGGTTATTCCTATTCTGCGGTGGCAAGAAGGCAGTAGAGTGAACCAGAGATGAACGGATTGGTTCCAATCACTGCACTCCATCTTTTTTTCTCCAATTGCTCCCATTTGTTTCTCCATCCAGTTGTGTCCTACCCAGCACCACCTAAGGGAAACCTGTTTTATCGTCAATGTCTTTGGAAGCTCCAGTTTGGGGATTTAAAAGTTTTCTCCAGTAAGTTAGGAAACACGGGCTTTAGTCATAGTTTGGTATAGCGCAGAACTGATTCTAAAATAAAGAAAATAAATGCAATCTTAGGCTAAGTCTAGAAATGAGGGGATGATGGTCCTGCTGCAGTATTGTGCTTAGTTCTGGGCACCCCACTTTAGGAAAAGCTTTGATAAGCTGGAGATGTTCAGAAGAGTGCACTCCTCTGGCACCAAGATGGTGAAGAGAAGGGCCTTGAGTGAAGATCAATATAGTATAATATCTCTAGGAGGTAAAAGAAAGGTTCATATTTCTCCTGGTTAGTCAATGGAAAGGTTGAGAGGCAAGAGAGGTTAAACAGTTTTCCCAGAGTTGCATGAGTCCAACATGGATCAGGGACTGAGATCTGATTCTCAGTCCCAGACCCCATTCTAAGCCTTGATTATATTCTTTTTTTTTTTGGCTAGGCAATGGGGTTAAGTGACTTGCCCAGGGTCACACAGCTAGTAAATGTTATGTGTCTGATGCTGGATTTGAACTCAGATCCTCCTGAATCCAGGACCTGTGCTTTATCCACTGCGCCACCTAGCTGCCCCTCTTGATTATATTCTTAATGACAATATAAGTCATGTCGGTGCTATAGGATACAGCGTATAGAGTTGCCCAATCTGGAGTCAGGAAGACTTTTCTTCCTGAGTTCAAATCTGGCCTCAGACACTTAATAGCTATGTGATTATGAGCAAGTCACTTAACCTTGTTTGCCTCAGTTTCCTCATCTATAAAATGAGCTGGAGAAAGAAATGGCAAATCACACCAGTATCTTTGCCACATCATTCGGTCGTTTCAGTTGTGCCTGATTCTCCATGACCCTATTTGCCAAGAAAACCCCAAATGGGGTCACAAAGAGTTGGGCATGAGTGAAACAACTGAACAACAGTAAGTCATATAGTAAGTGACTGGCAGAGTAAAGATGGACTCCTAAGGCTTAGGTTACAGAGTCACTATTAGTCTTCACTGTTGCTCTCGGATATATATGTATACACACATACACATATATATCAGAGGTGGTTAATTAATTCACATAAAATATTCTCCTGCTTATTTTAATGGATTTTTTTTCTAAACCTTAGATCTACTTTAGAGACAATTAACAATGCCTGGTGGTTTGGAGAAGGCGTGTCATCAATGCATATCTACAATTGCAAGTAATGGTAAGTTGGTACTCTAGGGACCAAGCTTCTTTTCCAGGAAAGAAGAATGGGTTTAGAGTTGACATTGAGGATCTGAATCCTAAACCAGGGGTTCTTTGCTTCATTTATGGCATAGATCCCTTTGGCAATTTTTTGAAAGGTCAGATTTATTTTATTGTCCCAAGTTTTAATACCTGTCCACATGGTATAGATAATGTACCCATATAAAAAAAAAAGGCCACTATTCAAAAGTGGTACAAAATGAACCCATTTTCAGAACAATGGTTTGAAATGTTTTTAAAAATATAAAATAAAATACAAAGCATTTTAAAGGAAACTGGTTGTATTGAAATAGGTACCAGAGAAAAATTTAGGGATGCTAAGTACAAATCCCTGTCCTACAGTGACTAGTATGGTCCCAGACTTGGTCCTAGACTTGGAGCGCCTCACCCTGCTAGGACAGATGGAAGAGTGGCCATCCTGCTACCGGGGGGATTCTGTGTCACCCAGGGAGTTAGTAACAGGGACACTGGGCTGCATCAAAAGTAAATCCAATAGATCACTTAGCCTTTCTGAGCCTCAGTTCCCTTATTGTAAAATGATTAGGTTATACTAGACGATCTCTAAGGTTTCTCCCATCTCTAAATTGATTTATTAAAAGATAGTATCCTGTAGTGTTTAACGTGGGAGTGAAGAAGACCTGGGTTCAAATCTGGCCTCAGACACTTTCTGGTTGTGTGACCTTGGGCAAGTCACTAACCTCTGTTTGCCTCAGTTTCCTTACCTGTAAAATGAGGATAATAATAGCACCTCCCTCCCAGGCTGTTGTGAGGATCAAATGAGATAATAATTGTAAGGCACTTAGCACAGAGCCTGGTACGTAGTAAGTGATATATAAATGTTAGCTATTATGAGGACAGAGGTCAGTCGACAAGTATTTATTAAGCACTTACTACGTATGAGGATCAAAATCAAATGAGATAATTACTGTAAAGTGCTTAGTGCAGAGCCTGGCACATTTTGTTTTTGTTGTTCAGTCATGCCCAATTCTTTATGACCCCATTTGAGGTTTTCTTGGCAAAGATACTTGAGTGGTTTACCTTTTCCTTCTTCAGCTCAGTTAGCAGATGAGGAAACTGAGGCAACCAGGGTTAAATGACTTGCCCAGGGTCACACAGCTAGTAAGTGTCTGAGGCTGGATTTGAACTCAGGTCTTCCTGACTCCAGGCCCAGAGCTCTACCCACCGTGCCACCTATTTGCCTAAGGTCACAAACAGTATATGTCAGAGAAAGCACTTGTACATAGTCAGCACTACATAAATGTTAGCTATTATTATTATTACTTAGCTTCTCCTTGCCCAGGAATCTCTCTGAGATGGTCATTTACAGAGAAACTGCCAACCTGAATCAGCAGTCTTTTGTGTAGGACTACCCTGTTCTTATGAAATCACAAAGATTGGACCCCCAAAATATTACCCAAACAGAGCCTGGACCAGAGGAAGGCAACAAGAAACACTTGTCAGGCTTGTGTAGCCTTTAAGATTTGCAAAGCGCTTTCTTCATAACAACCCGGTGAGGTAGGAAGGGAAGGCATTTTTATTTTCATTTTATAGATGAAGAAACTGAGGCTCTGAGAGGTTAGATTATTTTGCCACGGTCTCAAGTGCCTGAGGCAGTAGAGAGGGGGATCTGTGGGATGTTTGATGAGGATGAAAAGATTTGGAAAAGTCACTGGAGTGAGTGGGCTGGTAAGTAAATGGATTAGGGAAGTGGAGGTGTAGAAAGATTGCCTTGCTGTAGTGAGGGCTGGGTAGAGCCAGATGACACAACATAAATCCAGAGTGGCCGCAGACAGCATGGTTTTGAGGGTTTTGTCCAGCTTTGCTTAGCAGCACTTGAGGGGGAGCAGAGGCAGAGGATGATGGGAATAATTCAAGGCTGACAATTGCCAGAATAAGATCAGGAATTGGATAAGGTTAGGATAGAATTCAGACCCAGTTCTCCTGGCTTCAAGTCCAGACCTCTATATATGTGCCATGCTACCTCTGAATTATCTCTTTTTATAAATACACATATTTTGAATGGTAGAAAATTCACTATATGTGATACATGGTATTTGTTTTGTGATGTTGTCTTACGTGTTACAGGAATCAATCAATCAATCAACATTTATTAAGCATCTACTATGTGCCAGGCTCTGTCCTAAGCTCTAAGGATACATAAAGAATAAAAGACAATCCCTGCCCTCAAGGAGCTTACCATCTAATCGAGGAGACAACATGCAAACAAATGTATAGAAAGCAAGTGAAATACAGGATAAATAGGAAATGACTAACTGAAAGAAGGCACTAGAATTAAGAGGGGCTGGACAAGGCATCCTAATATGTGGGATTTTAGTTGGTATTTAAAGGGAGACAAGGAGGTCAGTAGGTGAGGATGAAGAGGGAGAAGACTAGACATGAGGTACAGCTGTAGAAGATGCCCAGAGCTAAGGGATGGAGTCTCTCATTCATGAACAGCCAGGAGGCTGGTGTCACTGGACTGAAGAGTGCATGTCAAGGAATAAGGTGTAAGAAGACTGGAAAAGTAGGAGGGGTCTAGGCTATGAAGCGCTTTAAATGACAACTTTAAATGACATTTTGTGTTTGATCCTGGAGGTAATAGGGAGCCACTGGAGTTCATTGTGTGTGTGTGTGTGTGTGTATGTGTGTCATGATCAGACTAGTGCTTTAGGAAAATCACATCGGCAGCTAAATGGGGTGGGGAATGGATTGAATGGAGGAGAGATTTGAGGCAAGGGTCTGAACCAGGGTGGCAGTGCCCTCAATGGGCAGAGATGAACCGGGAATATAAACTTCAAACCAGAGGTTGCCATATTAATACTAGTCTAGAGATCAAAAGAACTTGTGGTTTGCCCCCAAACCCTGAACCTAGTAGAAAAGCAGGCAAAATAAAATGGAGAGATATCTAAGGAGTCACCCAACCTAATAATCAGAATAAGAATAAATCATGTTTGTATAGCTCTTTATATGCTTTACCTCATTTGCTCTTATAATAATCCTGTAGGATACTTGCTATTATTATCTCCATTTCACAGATGAAGACGTTGAGATTCAAAGAGCTTAGAGCACTAAGGCTCAGAGTTTAGCTCACTTGTCCAGGGTGATTTGCTCTAAGTAGAGAGTAGAAAAGCTTCTAAAATGGATCAGAGAATTTTAACTCTTTAAAAGTCGAAAGAATTTGATTTTTCACCACTCTTGGATTTCAAGGTAACTGCAATTATTCTTCTATTTTCATTTTTCAATTATTTTTTCTTTTAATAAGGATCTAAGCATTATTTCCATTTCAATGAATTTTGCACGCAGCCATCTCTATTTTTCCTTAAAAAAAAAAGCTTTTTTGTACAGACCACTTCCAATGTCAGATTAAGACAGTAACTTTTCAGTAAACATGTATTGACAGTATCTAATTGAAATTATGAATTCTACACTAAATGTAAAGGGCTAAGAATATCAGAGTAAAGTTTTCCTATGTATAAGAAAAAAGGGCCAATAACTATGATCGTTTTCCATTGATATACTCCACTGTTTAGTGAAGAATCTTGTCTGGTTTAAAGATGGAAAGGGGAAGATGGTCCTATTGTCATATTAATGACTCATGATGAGCAGTAATTAACAATCTATCTAGTTTAGTTTTGCCATATCACTGTCTTGCTCAAAACTTCACAATAATTTTTTTTTGGTGAGGCAATTAGGGTTAAGTGATTTGCCTAGGGTCACACAACTAAATAATTCTTAATCTGCCTGATAAATCAAGATGAAATGCCTAGCTAGTCCTACTGAATCTGTACTGGTACCCTCTTCTCTGGAATCTCTTCCAGCTTTCATCCTCCCTTTTCTGATTTTCATCCTTTGAACGGCCTTCATCTTCTCATCTACCAGGTTACACCACCAAAGTTGATTACCAGCTCTGAGTAGTTTAGGCACAGTTTCACAATGCCCACATACTAGGCATTTGAAAAGATGGGGCTATAGAGACTATGAGTGGTTGGGGGGAGGGTCGATGTGTGAAATTGTGGATCTCAAAGAGGACCAAAATGACATCACTATGTTGGGGTCAAGGTACAGTGTGTCTGACTGTGGCTGACCAGATCAATAGGAGCTTGGAAGGCTCTGCCACAGGTCGGGCACAAATAGTCCACGTGAACATCCGAGGGAACAGTATAATGGAAAGTAATACTGGATCTGGAGTCAGGAGGGCAGGGTTTGACATCTGACTGCTACATAGACGGTAAGTCTGTGGGACCTTAGCTGAGTCAGGTAGAGGCAACTATGCAGTGTAGTAGATAAAATGCTGGACTTGGATTCAGGAAGACCTCAGCTCAACATCTGCCTTAGATACAAACCCTGGGCAAATCATTTAACCTCTCTCAGCCTCAGTTTTTCTTCTATAAAGTGGGTATAATAATAGCACCTATAGGGCAGCTAGGTGGTGCAGTGGATAGAGTGCCAGGCCTGGAGTCAGGAAGACCTAAGTTCAAATCTGACCTCAGACACCTACTAGCTGTATGACCCTGGGCAAGTCATTTTACCCTGTCTACCTCAGTTTCCTCATCTGTAAAATGAACTAGAGAGGGAAATGGTAAACCACTCAAGTATGTTGGCCAAGAAAACCCCAATAGCACGCACTTCCCAGAGTTCTTGTGAAGAGCAAATGAATGAACAGTAAATCGCTATAGAAATGCTAGCTATTATCATTGTTAGGTCACCTTTCTGAGCCTCCGTTTCTTCAGCTATAAAATGAAAGGGTTTGACTAGATCATCTCTAAGAACCTTTCCAGGTTTAAATCTTATGACCTATGACCTTCAAACATATTATCCACCCTACTCTATCCCCGGGAGAATATAAGCTTCTTGAGGGCAGGGACTGTCTCACTTTCATCTTCGTGACCCTAGGACCTGGCGCAGCGCCTGGCATTTACTGAGTACTTAAGACCTGCTTATTGATGGCTTGACTCTCCCACATCTCCATAGGAAGATGGCACCACCCTCCTCCTGTCACCCAGGATCGAAACTGAGGCTACACCCTTGACTCCTCACTCTCTCACCACCCTCCATAGCCAATCAGTGGCCAAGTCACATCATAATGTCTCTTGTCTATACCCCTTCTCTCCTCCAATGCTGGTGCCTCACACCTGGACTACTGAATAGCCTGCTGGTGGGTCTGCCTTCCTCAAGTCTTTCTCTGCTCCAATGCATCCTTCATTCATCTGACAAATTTGCTTTTTGGTGAGACAATTGGGGTTAAGTGACTTGCCCAGGGTCACACAGCTAGTGTCAAGTGTCTGAGGCCAGATTTGAACTCAGGTCCTCCTGACTCCAAGGACAGGGGTCTCTCCACTGTGCCACCTAGCTGCCCCTGACATATTGATTTTCTTAAATCAGTGGTAGTGGTGGATAGACCACCAGCCCTAGAGTCAGACACTTATTAGCTGTGTTACCCTGGGCAAGTCACTTAACCCTGATTACCTTCAAAAAAAAAAAAAGAAAGAAAAGATGTAAAAAGCAGGTCTGACTATGTCATTCCCCTATTCAATAAACTCCAAATGGCCCCCTATTATGTCCTGCTTGTCTTTCAAAGGCTCTTTATAACCTTGCCCCTTCCTACCTTTCTAATCTTCTTACATCTTACTCCTCTCCAAGTTCTCTACAATCCAGCGACACTGGCTTCCTTGCTAATCTTCCAACAAGATACTCCATCTCTTGACTCCTGAACATTTTCATTGGCTGTCCCCATGCCTGGCATTTACTCCCTCTCCTCATCTGTCTCCTGTCTTACTTCTAGTTTCAGCTGAAGTCCTACCTTCTGCAAGAAATCTTTCCCTATTCTCCTTAATCTTAGTGCCTTCCCTGTCAGATTACCACTCTCCAGTTTATCCTGTATATATTCCACTTGTAAATAGTTATTTGCACATTGTCTCTCCCTCCCTGACTCCCTCCCCTCCCCCCATTAGACTGTGAGCTCCTTGAGAGCAGGGACTGGTATTTGCCTTTTTTTGTATTTCCAGCACTTAGCTTGGCATTGTAGGTGATTAATAGATGCTGGTTGACGGATTAAAATCCTTCGTATTTTTGTGTATGTACACATATGTGTATTATGCAGCCTTCTCCCTTTCCCTTAAGAACACAAGCTTTTTGAGAGGAGAGATAGTGCCTAGATCAGTGCCTTTCACTCAGCAAGGGCTGTTAAGAAAAGGGATTTGAAGCTGCTGAGTACTCCTACTACTCTCTACCCTTTATTTCTCTATAGGTGGGACTCCTCTGCCTGGCACTATGAGATTTTTGTAATTTTGAACAGGTGTCAAAAATCCCTTTAAACCCATAAACCATAAACCCACCCTTTATATGGGAATTCAACTCGGAGAGAAGCTTGGAGGGCAGCCGGCCGCCTTTTATGGAAGTCAGCCACAGGTCTGAAGCTAAGACCCAGTTTGGTGCTCAGACCTCGGAATCTCTTAGTCATTGCCAGCCCAGATTGAAACAGCATTATGGTTCTTGGGATAGCAATTCAGAGCCCCCCTGAGTCTTCCACTTGCCCATCTCTCTCATTCTCCTTCTGCCAAGCATGAACAGCTGCATTCTATGTGTTTTCCAAACCCTCTGGGGTTTCTTTAATATCTGGGAAGCAATGAAATATTGATAAAGGCATCTGTGTGATGTGTGCGCCCTCCCCCAGCCGCTTGGGATGTCTCAATTAAATTTGATACATGCACATGGCCATAACCACGTGTTCACGTAAGGGAAAGATACATTTTGAAGTTGTCAGTGAGGTCCTGAGAAACCTTTCCTTAAGTCCAGATAGATGGGGTGGACTAGGGGAGCTATGGATGACAAAGGGTGGCAGAGTCCACATTTCACCTGAAACTGCCCCAAAGCATTCAATAGGATTTGCAATAAACCTGGAAGATAGGAGAATGAAGCACCTGGCAATACTTAGCAGCTAAGGAAATTGTATCCTTGAATGATCAAAAGAGTGGGTAAGAAAGATAGGCAAGAAAATCCTGAGGCCCTGGAATCTGTGAGTATGATATGGCCTGTTGACATTCCAAACTCAAAATGGTCAGAATTAAGTTCTTTCCCAGGAAATTTCCCAGCTCTTCCATTCAAAAACCAATTTTCTCCTCTTGACTTCCCTATTTCCGATAATGGCAAACCTACTCTCCCAGTTACCTTAGTCTTAAACCACAGAATGACCTTGGACAAATTACTAACCCCTTTGGACCTCAGTTCCCTTATCTGGAAATAGATTCTTTATGAATTTGGTATCTCAAGCAACTGGTGACCACTGACTGAGAGGGGCCCTCAGGAAAAGAGCTCTGTGTTCTTTGATGTCATGGTCCTCTTTGAGAACGAAGGACAAACCACAATCTATGTTCTTTGGCACCTTCCTGGGCCTTGGCCTCCCCTATTCATTTGGTTCCCAAGTCCTGTCTATGCTTCCTCTGTGGTGTCTCTTGAATCCATCCCCGTCTTTTTTTTTTTTTGGCTAGGCAATGGGGTTTAGTGACTTGCCCAGGGTCACATAGCCAGTAAGTGTTATGTGTCTGAGGCCAGGTCCTCCTGAATCCAGAGCTGGTGCTCTATCCACTGCACCACCTAGCTGCCCCAATCCATCCCCTTCTTTCCATTCCTGCTGATACCCCATTGCTTTTCTTCTGGACTTTGGCAAGTAGCCCTCTAACTCAGCCTGTTCCCAGACTTTCTCCACTTGAATTCATTCTTTACTCTCCTACCAGAGGACCTGCGTTTGAAGTCAAGTCCTGCCACTTATTATTTGTGCAACCCTGGGGACTTAATCTTGCTGAGTCCCACACACTTATTTCTATGGCTTGTACTATTTGTATGGTACCTTTGGCAGCTAAATAGCACAGTGACTAAAGTATTAGACCCAGAGTCCGGTAGACCTGAGTTCAAATCCAGCCTCAGACACTTACTAGCTATGTGACCCTGGGCAAGTTACTTAACTTCTTTTTACCTCAGTTTCCCCAACTGTAAAATAGAGATAAAACTAGCACTTACCTCCTATGGGTGTTGCGAGAATGAGCATTATCTCAAATGAGGTAATAAAATGCTTAGTACTGCGCCTGGCACATAGTAAGCACTATATAACTGTTTCTGTTGTTGTTCAGTTGTGTCTGACTCTTTATGACCCCATTTGGGGTTTTCTTGGCAAAGATACTAGAGTGGTTTGCCGTTTCCTTCTCCAGCTCATTTTACAGATGAGGAAACTGAGGTAAACTGGGTTAAGTGACTTGCCCAGGGTCACGCAGTTAGTAAGTGTCTGAGGCCATATTAGAATTCAGGAAGATGAGTCTTCCTGACCCCAGGCGTGGTATCTATCCACTGAGTGATCATTATTGTTGTTGTTACTATCATTGTTATTAGTGATTTGGAGTGTTCTTTTATGTACTGTGAATACTCTGCAATTCTCTTTTTGACAACTGTTCGTATCCTTTGATCACCTATCTATTGGATAGTAACTATTTGTGTGTGTGTGTGTGTGTGTGTATGTGTGTGTGTGTGTGTGTGTGTGTGTGTAATTGCCTCTTTCCCTTGTTTGGTTAAGAATATATACCCTACCCATAATTGTGAGAGGTACAGGATCTGCTCCTGTGGGGTTTCTTTGGCAGAAGAAAAGTGTATTTATATTGGGACCAATAGAATTGGCCACAATATCACAACAACCACTTTAGCTCTCACATAGGTACTAGGCCATTGATTTGAGCTGGCTCATATATCCCTAGGTCTCAAGGGGAGGGGAAAAGAATAATACTTTAATAATAAAATTTACATAGCACCTACTGTAGTAGGTGCCAGGTACTGTGTTAAGCATTTTTACAAATATTATCTTGTGTGATCCTCACAACAACCCTGTGAGGTTGGTGCATTATTATCCCCATTTTACAGATGAAGCTGAGACAAACAGAAGTAAAGTGACTTGCCCAGAGTCATACAGTTGGTATGTGTCCGAGGCAGGATTTGAACTCAGATCTTCTTGACTTCAAGTCCAAAGCTTAGTCACACCTTGGAGTCAAGAGGACCCGAGTTCAAATCTGACCTCAGACACTTGACACTTACTAGCTGTGTGACCCTGGGCAAGTCACTTAACCCCAATTGCCTGAAAAAAAAATAAGATACAACAAAAATAAAATAAAATAAAACAAAGCTTAGCCACAGTATCATTTTAGCCATCATTATCATGAAAGAAAAGGAAGCCAAATTACATGTAATACATTGAAAAGTTAGCGATTTTAAACAGAATGGAGTGGTTTCGTGAATAACTCAGTAACCTATCATGCTTTCTCTTCCAACAGCCTGCTTCATTTTTGCCCTTCTAGCTTTTCTGGCACTGCCCTTGTCCATGGCTTTCACAGGTAAGCTTGCTAACTGAATTTCTGGGCCATCCCCTGGAGGCAACATGCTTGTCTAGCAGCCTGAGGCATCTTTTTGTCCTCCAAACTTTGAAACTAGGATGCTAAGGGGTAAGGGGAGTTGACCTCAGAGGGTTCTTTCCAACCCCTGCATTTCCATATGGAAACTTGATCTGTATAGGAAAAAAAAAAGTTAGTCTACCCATGCTTCAACACAGAAGTACTCACTCAGTAAATGTTTTTGAATGAGTGGATAAGCTGAATCCAGAAGTTACTTACTTAACAAACTCAATTGTCTAGAACAGGAGTTTCCAACCATATCCCTGGTAGCTATGAGAAGCTTGTTAGAGATGTCAGGGAATATTTTTAAGAATAGATTTCCATATCCCATTGTTACAAAGTATACTCATAAGTTTTTGATTCCATTCCTAATGCCTAAATCAATCTCTTTATTTTATTTATTTGCATATATATAGTAAACTCTAGAAATTATTGAATAGGAAGAACAGGAAGGCTTACAAAAAGACAAGGGCAGGGAAGCTAGGTGGCACAGTGGATAGAGCACCGGCCCTGGATTCAGGCAGACCTGAGTTCAAATCCGACCTCAGACACATAGCACTCACTAACTGTGTGACCCTGGGCAGGTCGCTTAACCCCATTGCCTAGCCAAAAAAAAAAAAACAAAGACAAGGGGTGCAGGGACTGAGAAATGTTAGGAACACCCAGTCTAGAACATAGCTGAAACCAACAAGGAAATAGGCACCACCTCCCCCCCCCAAAGTAAAAATTAATAGAAAAAGTAAACAAAGAGATAAGTGCTTCTGCACATATGCACTGAAACTTTCTTCACAGGAAAAACCCTTAGGCTTTCTCTCAGAAGCTATGTACTCTTAATTTACCTACAAGTTTAACCACGGGCTTGGTAGCCTCATTTTCTAGCTCAAAGCAGATTAGAAGGAACATATAGAAGTATACAGGGTCTCCCCTGGTTCCTTTGCAGAGGTGGTAGATCCACAGGTGTGAACATTCCTTACAATGTCAGATATTTTTCAGTGATTGGTGATTGGCTTTTCTGAGTTTTTTTTTCTTTCTCTTTTTTTCTTTTCTTTTAAGAAAAAATTATAATGGGTGACTGGGAGTGAGGAGGGTGGTTACAGGGAGAAATCTAGGCAACATAAAAACAAAAGATGCACAAAAATCTATTTTTAAAAGTATGTAACTAGCTGTGTGACCCTGGGCAAGTCACTTCACCCATTGCCTCGCCAAAAAAAAAAAAAGCATATGTAAAAGAATGTTACTAGAGGCAGGCATTCTGACAGACAAAAAGAGGGATAGATGATGGGAGATAGGGGAGGAAAGAGAAGAAAATGAAGAAGCAGACACTAACCTAGGACAACACAGCCCCCATGAGACCGAGGCCATTTAGTTTAGGGACAAATAGACCTTGCCTCACCAGCCCCTGAGATTGTTGCTTCCTTACAGCACAGCGTGATAATTGATAGTTGTAATCATGATGCTGCATCATTTTCATCAATCTTGATAACTGAGTCATTAGAGCATTCGGTAGCCAGAAATGCATGATGCATTTTTGAAAGGTTTTTATCCAAAATGAAATAACAATGACAACAATGATTATAATGATGATGGTGATAACTTTGGTTCCTGAAAAGAACAAATCCTCAGCTATGCAAAACATTCATTTACATGGACAAGATCATTACCCCCAATTCTGCCAGGTAAATGAGGCTCACAGACATATACATTTATTAGAACCTTTTAAACTCTCCAGAACAGATCTGAATCTCCCGTGAACAGGACCTGCCTTTCTTCATTAGAAATGAACAGGTATCAGAGACATCACTCGGTGGTAATCTCACAGCTGGGTTTTGAGTTTGAAAAAGTTCATACATACAGTGAAATTGACATAAACAGTCAATTTCATGGACCTTTAAGGTACTTGAATTTAGCCTTTTGTTAAAAAAAAAAAAGTCGTACCAAATTTCAGTATCATTTTCCTTAATAGCTTCTTCTGGGGGAATCCATCACAGATTTCCAGAAATTAAAGTAATCTGATACCTTGAAGACCACATATGTTTGATTTCTCCCTAGGGAGATTTGAGTTATGAATCTTTGCACACATCACACCTAGAGTGTCAGCAGAATACAGTGTTGTCACTAGATAATGGTTTGCTGTGTCTCCTTAACCACCAAGGCATAAATGAGAAATGAAATATCATCGAGATGCTGCAACATTAGCTCTCAAGCTGGAGACTTTGCTCCTTCAGTAATACTCCTTTCTGGGTCCTGTCATTGGGCCTTATAAGTAGTGTTGTAGATAAAGACCTGGCCTCAAAGCCAAGTGGGCACAAGACCCAGTCTGAAACTACCTCCATGTGTGACCCTGGATGAATCACTTACCTAGACAATTATCTAAGACTGTGCATTGGTAAGAGTTTTCTCATCCTAGTGTTTCTAATTCCAGTTGTGGGGCCACTAAACCATGATCCCTGCAGGCCTTACATTGACACACACACAAAAAATAAATATTAACCATGTTTTAATATATTTTTTATTTATGTTAACTATTCCCCAATTACATTTTTAATGGAAGTGTTGTGGGCCACATGGAGCCAACCAGTTTGCCTTATATCAATGACATCAAAGGTCTAGTCCCCATCCCTTGTATTAAACTGAAGGAAATTAAAAAAATAATGAGGAGACAAGACAGGTTACCCTAAGGAAAGGGATGAAAGCCGTTGGGTACACTTTGGTTTATGGTCAAAATGAATTAGGATCCATGGGATCAAGGATCTAAAACTGCAAGGAAATTTGGAAGCCATCTACAGATGAGGAAACTGAGGCTCCAGGAAGATAAGTAATTTACCCAGGTTCACACAGATCATAAGCATCAGAGGCATGATTTGAAACTGAGTCCTCCAATTCTAGAGTCAGGGCTCCTTTCATTGTACCATGAGACCTCCTGCTCACCAGTATCATGACTTGGGTGTCTCTTAGTGGTAGATGGTCATAGTTGAAAGGCTGGCACCATTATCATTGCAGGTGGCATGTTGTCAACTCAAAGTGATTAGCTGCTCATCTTCCATACTCCCTTTTATCCCCCCATTAATGGTGTGCCAAGAAGCAAAAATCAATCAACAATCAATCAATAATCATTTATAAAACACTATACGCCAAGCACTGTTGCTGTGCTTAGCTTTGGGGACACTCAGAAAAACCAAAAACAGTCCCTGTTCTCAGGGAACTCACATGCTAACAATTTACTTTTCATAACACAATGGCCATGATTCCATACTATATGTGTATTCTGGACCAAGGAAACATATTTTATCAATCAAATCCCATCTTAAGCAAATTATGTGACTACCTGCAGGATCTTTGATTTTGTTAGTTCTCAGGGATTTAATCTCCTTCACCCTTGTAGCTTTGGACCCTCCTAGGACCTAGAAGATGAGTCCTAGGGAAGTTGCCTGAAGCAGACAGAGGATAGGTGACTTGCTTAGGGTCACTTATGCATCAAAAGTAGGATTTAAACCAAGTCTTCTTGATTCCAAGCCCATTATCACTTTATCCACTACTCTAGTTCACCTTTTTTAGTATTGTTAAATGTTAAGAAGAACCAGGCTTGTCATTTCATTGGTGCAGGAGGTTTCTGGTAAAGGATTCCTTCTACCAGTACCGTTCTGCACCTTCTTTGTGACTCAGAGGCTTAGGAGAGTTGCCTGGAATACTACGAGGTAATCTACAGGGGTCCCAAGGCAGTTCTGTCTCAGAGTTTTGACTTGAACCCAGGACTTCTAGTCTCAAGGTCAGTTCTCACTACATCAAACTGTGCTACCTCCATATCTTTCAGTTTACTTGGGCTATTTAAAAAAACCCTATAGTGAATCCTTTCATAAAGTCAATAGTTCTAACGATGATCTCCATGTGTTGGATTTGCTTAAAGCAGTTCTTCATCCTTTATAACTAACAGCCAGGTAAAACACTCTGCAGGACTGATTAAGCTGTTCTGTCCAAGTGAACTTTCCCCTCAGTCTATGGACTATTCACATTCTGGCTGCAGCACTTTTCTTGGCACCTGTGGTTTGTTGTAGAATGACTAGTTGAAGAAGCAAAGATCCACATTCAATCAACAATGAGCATTTCTTAAGCACCTACTATGTGCCTTTATTAAGTACCTACTATGAAGCATTTATTAAGCATTATTTGAGCTATGTGCTAGATGTTCAAAGACAAAAATGAAACTGCCTGCCCTCAAGGAGCTTCCACTCTTCCATACATATATACATATATACACACTGTGCAAAATATATAAGGCATATTTTTTGTGGGAGAGGCTCTACTAGCAGCATCTTTCCCATCATCCCCCCTACTGCTCCCCACTCCCTTCCTACCCCATTTAGTTTATACATGGAAGATATAAAGTAGATGGTTTGTATGGTGAAGGATGTGACCCTTGCCTGGCACCTGACTTCATCTTGTAACAAGGCTTCCTGCTTCATGATGCTCCTTTCTATCCTTGAACATTTTCTGTATCTTTTCCCATGTCTAGGAATGAAGTTTTTGGAGGACTGCCCCATTGAACCACTCATTCCCTTATACTTGCTAGTGGGCGGGATCATCGGCAGTCTAAAGGTAATGTCTATTTTTGCATGTTAACCTTTGCTTGAAAAAAACCTAAACTGAGGACACCCCCTAAAATCTCTTTTAAGTGTCTGCTGCTCACAGAGGAGTGTGAACAACTTTTTTACTGGAAAGACTTCAGTTAGCAGAGAAATGCCATTAAAACAGCAGTTGCAATCACAAGATAATGAACCCTCCCCACTGTGGTCTGAATACCAGGACGGAGTGGAGGTATAGATTTTTCCAGGCAGGAGCTGGGAATCTGTTATCAGGGCTTAGCTAAACCCATTCCCCCACACAGTAGATGCTGTCACCCTCTTGGTCTGACGGCTGCTGGAGACACTGAGAGCTGATTAGGCCTTGAGAGGATGGAAGGCAGCCAACAGAGACACATATCATTCACATACATCTAGAGCTGATCTTTTTTTCACCCCTCTTCTTAAGGGAAAATAATCTTCACTTTTGTGGATGAGAGAGTTTATAATTTACTCTGGCTGGGTCTACTCTATCTCATGGACCAGCACAGATCTCGCAGGTTGTAGTTATCAGCTAAATCCTAAATTCTGCCTGACTGCACATTTTATGCACCTGAGGAACCCAGCAAAGTGTTGGAGGATTCAGTGTTTGGGTACCGAAGAGTACTCTTAGTTTTTACTTCCGTTTACTTCCATCCCAAGGTTTGGCTCTCTGGTTCCCCCTGCTGGTCATCACTGTTACCACCCCTCTCAGCTTCCAGTTTTGCCCTTCCCTGCCTCCTCTGACATCGGCACAGAAGCCTTCTGTTTTGGGTTTTTGTTTTGTTTTTAGGGATTTTTTTTTAAAGATGATGTTTTACTGTTAATTATTACAGAGAAACAGAGAGAAGTTGAAAACAATAATGGCAAAAACATAAAATTGTAAGAAATATTAGACACTGGTTCAGATGCTCCAGTTATAAATGTGCTGGGAAGGAAGCCTTGATTGTTTGCAGTGAAATACAAGAACACAAATTTAGAGCTATAGGGAACTTAGAGATTAGGGGTTCTTACCCTTTTGGGTGTCATAGAACCCTTTGTACATCGAGGGTACCCCCTACCCACTTTTTCTCCATTGAAAAATATACCTTCTTTACTAAGAAAATGGAGGTCATCTGACATAAACTTTCTCATCTCCATATCTTCACCTCAGAACTCCTTTTTCTCCCCTTTTCCCAAATCTATGACAAAGAGGCAGCCCTTCTCCTTGCCGAGGGCGACCCTCCTGCGTGCCTGCTTGAACCCGTCTCTTCCCATCCTCTCTGGCAGATTGCGACTTATTATCCTCTCTCTAGCTCTCTGACTCTGTCTATGCCCATGGACCTTCTTTTCTTAAGAATAATTTATTTGAATGCATAAAGCAAAATACATAGGATTACAAAGGAATCCAATTATATTGAAATACAGTTACAAAGAATCCAATTATATTGAAATACAGTTATCAGAATTTTTAAAAAATTAGGAAACCAATTATGTTGCAATTGTCATCAGAATATTAAGAAAAAGTTAAAAAAATTAAAATGTAGTTATCAGAATAAAAAGTTAGGGAACCAATTATGTTGAAACACAGAATATATTAAAAAGTCAGGAAATCAATTATATTGAAATACAGTTATCAGAATATTTTTTAAAAGTCCATGGACCCCAGATTAAGAATATCTGATATAGTCCAACCCCTTAATTTTACAGACAAGGACAAAGTGACTCTCTGTCATTGTCTCTGTGTCTTTCTCTCTCTGTCTCTGTGTCGATGTCTCTCTCTGTTTTTCTGTCTCTCTGTCTCTGTGTGTCTCTCTATGCCTCTGTCTTTCTGTCTCTGTCTCAGTATCAATGTCTCTCTCTGTTTCTCTGTCTTTTTGTCTCTCTGTTTCAGTATAACTCTATATCAATCACCTCTCTGTCAGATGGGTAGCATGCTTCAGCACAAGTTATATGCTCCCTCAGTAACTTCATTAATTCTCAGGAGTGTAACGATCATCTGTGCAGATTACTCACAGATCTATATATCCAGCCTCAGTTTCTCTCATGTGCTTCAGTTCTATCCCATTGTCTATTTGACATTTCAGATTGTATGTACCAAGGACACAAGTCAAGCCTAACATATGGAAAACATAATTCATTATCTTTCTTTCCAAACCCACTCTTCTGCCAGATTTCCAGATTTCTGTCAAAGACACCCCTATCTTCCAGTCTTCCGATTTTGTACCCTTGGTATTGTTGTAAGATCGCAGGAGGATAGATTTAGAGGTGAAAGGGGATTTACAGGTTGAAATTCACCCCCCACATTTAACAGATGTAGACAATATGGCATAGCAAGTAAGTACTTGAGGCAGGATTTGAACTCAGGTGCTTGCTGCCTCTAGGTCCAATAGTCTTTCTACTATACCACCTCATTGCCTCCTATACTCTTCTTGATGCCTCATTCTACCTCACCGCACTCGTCTAGTTGAGTTGTCAAATCTCACTGTTTCCAGCTCTGTAACCTTTCTTCTGACCTCTTTACTGATATAGCTACCATCGTAGTTCAGTCTCCAAACGCCTCTCATCTGGACTATTGCAATGTCCTTCTAGTTTGTTGTTCGTGCTGCTGCTGCTGCTGCTGGGCAACTGGGTGGATCAGTGGATAGAGTGCATAGAGTGCTGGGCCTATACTCAGGAAGTCTGATTCTCCCTGAGTTCAAATATGGCCTCAGACACTTACTAGCTGTGTGACCTTGGGCAAGTCCCTTAATCATGTTTGCCTCAGTTTCCTCTTCCGTAAAATGATGTTGAGAAAGAAATGCCAAACTACTCCATTATCTCTGCCAAGAAAACCTCAGATGGGGGGGTCATGAAGAGTCAAACACAACTGAAATGACTCAACAACAAAAACAACAAAGGTCTAGTTGATCTCACTACCTCAAGCCCTTCCCTTCTTCAATTCATTCTCCACACTGCTGCCAAAGTGATTTCCCTTAAGTGCAGATGACATCATGTCACTCCCCTAGAATGACTCCTCAAGAAATTCTAGTGGTGCTTTATTGCCTCTAGGACTAAATATAAACTCTTCTGCTTAGTTTTTAAAGACATTTAGGGAACCCAGTGGATAGAGAGCCCTGGGCCTGGAGTCAGGAAGACTTGAGTTCAAATCCAGCTTCAGACACTTATGAGCTGTGTGACCCTGGGCAAGTCACTTACCTTTATTTGTCTCAGTTTTCTCAACTGTAAAATAGGGATAATAACAGCACCTATCTTTCAAGGTTGTTGCAAAGGTCAAAGGAGATCATATGTGTAAAGCACTTAGCACAGTGCCTGGCACATAATAGGTTCTATGTAAATGCTTATTCCCTTTCCTTCTACTCTTAAGCCCTTCACAATCTTGTCTCAACTATCCTTCCAGCCTCATTTATATATCATTCCCCTTCCCACACTCCATGGTTCAGCCAAACAGGGCTGATCTCTGTTCCTTACCCATAGAACTCTCCTGTCTCAATGACTTTGCCTTGATAGGCCCCATGCCAGGAATGTACCACCTCCTTACCTCCACCCCCACAGAATCCTTCATTTCCATCAAGATGCAGCTCAGGCACTATCTTCTACACAAAGCTTTTCCTGTTCCCCACAAATTGCTGGTAACCTTCCTGCACACTATCTTGTATTTATCTTGTTTACATTTATTCTGTGTTTCTATAGCTATGTCTATATATATGATATATATGACATGTATGGTATATATGTTTCAATGTCAAAAGCTACACTTATATGTCCATATCTATCTATATCTACCCATCTTTCTATCTATCCAACTATATCTATCTATCCATACCTATCTATCCATCTATATCTATCTATCCATATCTATCTAACTATCCATAGGATAGTTAGATCTATATCTTGCCATTGGACCCAGGTGGCTTCAGAGGAGAAAGTGAGGCAGGTGACTTTGCACAGCCCTGCCTCATTTAAATCCAATTTGTTTGCAAGTCATGACATCACCTTCCTGATGTCATGGTCCCTGTCGAGAACAAAGGACAAACAACGACAACAATCTATCCACATATCTATATCTATTTATCTATCTATCCATCTATCTCTATCTATCTATCTGTCTGTCTGTCTGTCTATCCATATTATCTCCTTAGATAGAATGTAAACTCCTTGAGAGAAGGGATTGTATCTTTTTTTGCTTGGTATCCCCAGTGCCTAGAACATAGTAGGTCTTTAGTAAGTAACTGACACTTTCCCTGAGGAGTAATAATTTTCCTACTCACCTGTTCAGTTCTTGGGAGGCTCAGGCAGCCAATCAAAAGAGGCCCCTGCCACCCACAGTGGGGTGGGGGGAGGGATGGATACAGAAGCCTCCATGTTAATGTTATATTACAAAGACCCTGTTGTTTCACTGCCCAGTATAAGACAAAATTTATTATCAAAATATTTATTATTCCCCAGTTCCATCTTGAATTCTGGTGGTGCCCAGGTGTCCCTAAGGCCCTTATTAGAATGCAGCCTTACCTAAAACAGAGTCCTATGGCCAGAACTCCTGAATAGGATTCCATAAAGAGGATAATGAGCACAGAGGAAGTCATTAACTTTGGTGCTAAGCCACCTGACTGCTGAGTTGAACTTTTCCTTCAGAGATGTTAGAATCTGGGCAGTCTGCTCTTTTTAATAACAGAAAACTTTTCCTCTAGGAAAGAAACCAGAGAAACTGGAGTCATTTCCTTTAATGAACAGCCTGGGACCCTAATAAACAATAGCGATGTTTTTCTGCCTAGCTAAAACCATGCAACAGCAAATTAAAATTTGATACTCATCACCGCAAGGTAATTCACAAGAAGCCAATAATCATTAGCTCCAATAAGGAGTAAAATTTTAAGATGCACCAAATATAGAATTCTATTAGCAATAATAACATTTAATATTAAACACCATCAAAAGAATGCATTTGTATTCCCAGTATCTCTGTGAAGTGAAGTACTAATCCCATCATGCCATTTTATTGGTGGGAAAATGGAAGAA